AAAAAAGTTTAGTAAATCGAATTTTAAATTTTTGCTCAAAGCATTTTTGTGCGTGCATACATAGGAGTCGTTGAAAAAATTGTATTGCGCAAGCGATTAAATCGCGACGAGTTGTAATGTTCTCGCGCACTCGTTTTCGTTCACGAGCCAGATGTGAATCCCAATCCCGCGCTCACAACACGGGGCAATTCCCCGCGTGTTTAAAATTGCCTCAATCGAAGTGTATAATCCCCCCGAGATTTTACGAAACGCAAGACATATGAACCACAATATATTTTAGAATAAAAAAAGAACTCACTCCAATTCTATTTTTTCCTGTCATATATCTTTTTATATTTTTATAACTTTACTCGTAATTCTTCCGCACGAAATTTACTTTTAATGGCAAAAACTTTCACGAATAGTAAAAAAACACTTTAAGTGCTTTACCGTTTTTTTCAATTTAATGTTTTTGTTGGAAAATATCTCATTTCTCGCATACAATAGAAAATTATTTCAATTATATTTATTTCTTTTATTTTAAAATAATTTTTGAAACAATTAAAAAACGAAATGTCTGCCTTAAATGAAATTATTAGTGCGACCAAATGAAAAATTGAAATTGAATTGATAATATATGAAAGAAAAAATGTTCTTTTGATTGTCAAAAAAGAAAAGTAGATGTTTATTAATCGAATAAATGAATTTCATGAAATTGAAGTACTTGCGTATTATAACTGTTTTAATGGGTTTTCTCGAGTTTTCATTTTATGTAGACATAGATGTATTTTTAGCAATGAAAAGCTATATAATTCACTCTTCGATTCCAGATAATTAAAACTCTTCTTTCATGACAAATTTAATCTGCCATTCCGCAGTAATTTTTATAATTTAAAGAGCTTTGCTTTTTTCTTATCAAATAAAAAACACGTGTTTTTCCTTCCCTTCTTGTGGACCATGTGTCAAAGGAAAATACACGTTCAGAAAGAGAACACATGTAAATCGAAAAAAAATTGAATGAATAATTAAAAGAGTCGCGCAACACTCGATGGAGTCAGTTTCGTGTCAAATACGACAGAAAAACGATGTTTTTAAATAAAAAATGGAACAGGAGAAAAAGTGGGTGCACTTTAAATTCTTTGCTTTTTTATTCTTGCAGAATTAAATTTTTAAATAAATTATATTTTATTTTTTAATTTTCTTTTGTTAAAGTTAGACTTTTGAACCTAATTGTCTATTTATTCGAAACGGAATGGAAAATTTTTCGAAATTTATCAACTATTCTGACTTTTGTCGAGGAATTCTAGAAAATCGATTTTACGTGGTTACATTATATGCGGTTGGTTACGATTCGACGATAGTAACCCTTCACGCAAACTTGGCATAATGGAGGAAGAATGTCACTCGAAAGCATTCAAGAAATGGGGTCAGTTTTTTATTTTTATTGACTTTAAGTTTAAATATATATCCATATCATTTTCTTAAATGTAGATTCTAAAATAAGATAATGGAGATAATGCGCTCGTTGTTGTAGGCACATGTTCAATCCTTTTAGTTAAATATTTTCTTTCCTTTACACCCACTGAAATAAAAAAACTCTGCAAAAAAATATTTATTTTCATAAATCCGAATTAGTATAAATTTCATTTAAATTCAAATTTATAATTTTAGTCATTTGTAAATTCATTTGTAAATTTCAACACTAAGTAAAAGATAGTGAAAACTTTTGAATTAGTAGACAAAATTAAATGAAATTTTCCGATTGAGAGAAAAAATTTGAATAAAAAGGAGAAAAGGTTTTGGCTGTCCTCTCGCGAAACCGTCAGAATCATTTTTCGATTACCAAATTCCGAGAATGGATTTGGTAAATGAAGTGATTTGCGCGAAAAGTGCATCCTTTGGAGAATCCAGCAGACGATTTTTAAATTTCAAATCGTATCTCGAGCTCCTAGGAAAAGCCATCATTATGCTTTCGAATAAAGATGTAAAGCAGGATAAAGGAGCTTGGCAAATAGCCAAGGGAATTTGCTCTTAAAGGATTTGTCATTTACTGATTGAGGTCATATTTTTACTGAAAAAAAATAAATAAAAGTAAAAGAAGAAGAAGAAGAAGAAGAAGAAGAAGTATAAGGAACAGCATTCTGCGATCTTTCAAGTTCCCAGTTAATTTCCATCTCATTTTCCTCTTTCCTTTATCTTTTTGAAAAAGAAGAAGAAGGAGAAGGAGAAGAAAAAAAGAAAAAAAACCCCTTGATCTTTTTAACATTCTTTTTTTGGACCCTCCTCAATTTTCTGTGTATATATGTATTGCTTCGCTTTTATCTTTGTGTCCTGCAATGTCATGCCACTCGAAGGAACTCCTTATCATGCAGAGCTCGTGGATAACTAGATCTAATTATATCCGGAGCACCGTATAACTTCGTTCATAGTTTTCACTTCGTAACCCAAGTCCGTTTTAAAACAATCGCGAGCTCTTCTCCTTCAAGTTGGTAATTAATTTCAAACAAAAAAAGAAGAAACATTTTCGATGTTTTCTATTTATTTTCTTTTATTCTCTCAAATAAATTTCTCCTCTAATGATATTTTTCAAACTTGTTTTGTACGGTTGACTTTTGTAATTATAATAGAATAAAATTTATACCTTTAGAAAAATAATTCAAATATTATTATTAATAGTATTTTCTTGATAAACAAAAAATATACAATTCAAATATGATTCATTTTTTTGGTTATTCTTGTCGCTTTCATATAACTTTTTAAAAATAATTTTATGTTCAGGAAAAACGATATTTATAAATAAATGGATCGAACAAAATCACTTTTGTTGTTTATTAAAAAACACATTTTCGGTGAATGCAAATTGCCATTCTTTTGTGGCGAAAATCCACTTCTACGTTCTACATTATTTAATGTCGAGTCGAGATAATGGACCAAGTGTATATAATTATATACCGTATCCTTAATTAATTTAATGGAAGTAATTTAATTACGAGACATGAAAATAGATTCAAAAAAGCTGCAAAAGAAGAGATAATTAATTATTCTGATTTAGTAATACAATTACTGGGATATTTATTACTATGGAGAGCCTGGAGGGAAAATATTCCATCTTCTAACCAATAAATATTGCTTTTTGAAGCAGAGAGAAAATTATCCCCCCATTTGATGAATGTAATCTTCTTCTTTAGATGTATAAATTTTATTTAAATATATTTTAAATGTAAACAGTGAATGTTATTATTATTTCCGGAGAGAAAATTAAATTTGTCATTCGTCTATTCAAATCAATTGGAACGTGAAATTTTTGCTCGAAATACCAAAAGGATGTGTCTAATTTTGAGCAATTTCAAACAGATGTTCTTATTCTTAATACACTACCGAAAAGGGAACTTGGATGGGAGAGAGACGCGACGTAAAATCTCTCATTCATGTGGCGTCACTCTGATTTCTTTTTCTTACCGCCTTTTGCTCATTTGCATACTACACCTAGATCGCCAAAAATAAAAGAGAATTTCTTCAACGGAGCCAGTTCGCTTTGCTAATTAGTCTCCTAATTTGATTACTGGAGTGCAACGAGGAGTTAGATTTACTTTAAATTCAAGTTCCCTTTGCTTTTCCAACATCTGTACTGGCTGCGCAAAAAAAGAAGTTAATGTCAAAGTTAAAATTCAAAAATTCTATTCTACAAAATTGAATAAAATTCTTGCTTTGAAAAATTATTTTTGAAGCAGAAACAATTCTATTTGATTCAAAAATTGTTTCGTGATTTTTATACAACGTCCACACAATATAACACAGTTCAATTGTGATGTTGTCCTCTATTTTTATGTGTGTTAACACTTGTGCAGTCGTGCGGAGAAAGGAAGATTAACGAGGGTATTTTTTAGCACCTCGGCACTATCGTAAAGCATTTGCTCGTTGTTGTTGTTGTTGTTGTTGTTGTTGTTGCTTTTTTTCTACGTTCCCTCTCGTTTTCCCAACAATAACGACATTGTAAATCCGTAAACTTTACGACAAAATGTTTATCCAAAGAGAAAACGATTCCAACCCTTATTCATGGCAATCATAATACCCTTTAAAAAAAAGAAAAGAAACACAAAATACTTAAATCTCATCTTGCAAAAACAATTTTCGTAGATTCACTCGTGTTTAAAAAAAAAATAAAAAACTGAGGGAAATTTTTGGTAGTACCTCATTATGACATTTCCTTGTCCTACACGAAAAGTATTATGAACATGTTGTGACCTATTTGTTTTGCAACATTGAAATTGTATGTGATTGCAAATATTGATATGAAATCATGTCAGACAATGACTTTGTTACATATCAAAGAAGAAATGATTGGGAAATAAATAGATTGTATAAAATTCATTAACTTATCGACATTATATCGTTGTATGTGGAATTTCCGAAATACAATATCTCAAATCTGTCAAAATGTGCACCAGTACGATAATTAAATTCACTTTGGAATAATCGATTTGATTTTAGTTTGTCATATTATTTCACGTGGAAAATGAAATTTTGCCCAGTAGAAAATACGTATAAATATAGGAATGACCTTAATTAATATGCCATTTTTAACAAAGCAATTTTATTGATAAAAAGTTATAGTTACTTTTTGTCTTTGTCTATATACCCATTTCTTTCATCTGTTTGGTATAATATTAATAGCGGAATTGGAAAATCCTTACAGGAAAGTGACAGGTCACGTGAGCAATTTCATGAATAAAGAATAATAAACCTCATCGAAGCGGAACTATAATTCACTTATACTCATAAACCGCAACAACGCCCATTGTTTTTCCCCCTCGACATCTAATGATGGATATTCATCAACTTTTTACTTTTTTCCACTTTTTATCGATCCAAATAAAAATAACATCCGAGAAGGCAAATGTTTGTTAAAGTAAATGACCACTGGGCGAGCACTGGGCGAGCACTGGGCGAGCACTGGGCGAGCACTGGGGTCATACAATGATACAATACAATTTAAGAAAGTGTGTAATGTGTATACATACCTGAGTGAAAAAATAATAGTAGACCTTCATGCCACGATCAGCAAAAAGTTGAGCAAAGTGGGTCGATGGACAGATGAAGAAATAGTCGCCAACCGCGTCGGCCACCATTTTTTGGTACATGTAGTTGTCTGTCATGTTTTCCCAGTCCGTGTACTGAAAATTAATTATTCTCCATTACAAATCAGTCGCAAATATCTCCCTTGTTTTACATCTCCACAACTTTTGTCTCCTCATTACGCAACATTGTTAAAACTTTTTTCGGAGCACTTATATTTTTTGAGTGAACAGGGTTGTCACAAAAATTTTATTTTCTTTTTTCCTGACAACATTTCCAGACAAAATTTTCACTTTTTCCCAGGGCTCCGGGGCTCGAACTAGGTTCGCTTCAAATCCGTAAAAGTCACTTTGTAAATTGTAGGTACCATATAAGTAATTTTGGAAATTTTCAAAAAGTTAGAAATGATTACAGAAATTCAATTATTTTCAAAAATTAGTAAAAAATCTCGTCTAAATTCCAATTATTTTTATATGAATAATAAAATTCTTCTCCGAAATTCAATTATTTTCAAACATTTTAATTAAATTCTTGGCAGAATTTCAATTATTTTCAAAAATTTCCTCAATTCAATATCTATTTTAATAAAATTTTTCAAAAAAATTTTTAATAAAATTCTACGTAAACATTTAACTATTTAGCCTTAACTATTTTCATAAACAATAAAAATTTCACAGGAATTCAATTATTTATAAATATTTTTTTAATTTCTTCGTAATAACTCTATTACTTTAGTAAATAATAAATAACAAAAATCTTGATAAATAACAAAATTCGTCAGAAAAATTAAATTAGGTATTATTACCATAAAGAATAAAGTTCTTCGCAGGAGTTGAATTATTTTAAAATATTTCTTATAAAATTCTTTGCAGAAATTCAAAAATAACAAATATTTTAGCAGGAATTCAATTATTTTCAAAAATTATCATAAAATTTTTGCAAAAATTCTATTATTTTCAAAACTTTTAACAAAGTAGGTACTTAACAAGAATTCAATTATTTTTATAAATAACGAAATTTTCGTAAGAATTGAATTATTTTCATAAAAAATCTTTAATATTCCTTAATAAACATTAAATTATTTAAAGAATTTTTTAGAAAATTCTTTGAAAAAATTCAATTATTTTTAAAAATTGTAATACAATTCTTGTCAAGAATTCAATTATCATTATAAATATCAAAATTCTTCGCAGAAATTCAATTATTTTCAAAACTTTCAAACAAAGTTCTTGGAAAGAATTCGAATTATCTTTTCATAAATATAACAGAATTCTTCCCAAACATTCAATTCTTTTAAAAAATAACAACAATTTTAGCAGGAATTTAATTATTTTTAAAAATTTTTTATAAAATTCTTCACGGAAATTCAATTATTTTCAAAAATTTTAATAAACTTCTTTAAGTTCAAGTAGAATTTTCTAATAAAAATTGATTTAAAAATAAATTTCAGTTAAAATTTGAGATAATAATTGAATAATATTAGAAACATTATAACGTAGATTTTTAGCAGTAAATTGAATTTTGGTTGAAAATTGTAGAAAATAATAATTGAATTGAAATGATGAAAATAATTTTTAATTTTAATTACTTCATGTTTTATAGTTATGAACGAGTGAAAAAATGGTATGTAAAATTTTCTCTTATTTGACTCGGACTGGTTATATTTTTGTCTGTAATCGGTCCGTAATTTTTATTTTTTGGTCCTTAAAGTCCGTATTTTAAAATACTTTCACTTGTTCGAGCCCTTGATTCACTCAAAAAATTATTAGATACTATTAGAATCTTTTAGAAATGTTTGCGTGTAAAAAATAGTATTTTCAATAAAAGCCAGGCAAAAAATAAAAATTGAAACTATGGAAATAATTTTAAAGGATGCAATAAAATTCCAAACAGATGTTTCCGCAGAAAGTAGTTTTCATCTTCCTTTTGCGAAACGGATAATTTTTTTGTTTAATAATGAAGTTTATTTGCACACTATTCAAAGCATCGTTTTTTGTATTTTATTCAGTGCGAACGGTGCGAACATTATTAAAAGATAAACCTGGGCAGAGAGGATGCTATCAGGGAAATCTAATTCAAAGTTTGTTGAAGCGCAAGGAAAGTTGGTTGATTCGATAAAACACGATGTAGTCGTTGCTCGCTTGTCATTTATTTGCCGGGGTTCTCTTTTTCGCGATATTTGCCTCAGCTCGGGGGAAACTTTCCTTCTCTTTTTTCTTCACGAACCCAAGATTTTGCGTTTCTTCTCGCTACGAGCATCATCCTTAGTCGAATACCTGATTAGTTTTCAAGAAGAGAAGAGAACTCTTCTCTATATCCAACAACGTTTTCTCGCTTATCTCTCTTTCTCTTCTTTTTTATTCATTTTAAGCAGTACCACTTTTGCCAAGTTGTGTCAACTTCCTGTAAACTGAGTAATGGTGCAGCTATTTTCTATAAAAGCAACCAAGGATCTTTAGTACATACTTTCTTTGAGAATTTTCTCCACTCTAATTGTCTCAAGTTGAAGACACTTGTACACATGCCTTTGATAAATGCACACTCAAATTTAATGAATGCGCAATGCGCATTGAAACCAAATGTCGAGTGCAGATGATGTGGAAAACACCTTTGCAAAAACATGCTTACAATCCGTTTTGTACATCACTCGGTTTTCGTGAAAAAACCTTCTGATTAAACATGAGATCCCCGAGATTCATTTACGACTTTCTGGATGTGGATATCTGACTAATGACAGAATTTGCATTTCATTCAGAATCGGGTCACTGAATCCATTAACAAAAATCTGTATTTCGAATTCTCCACTTTTCTATTCCAAAAAAAGGAAAAGAAAATCTTGTAATGGAATTTTTCTCACAATTTAAATACATATTAAAATTCGTATTTTCCAATAATGTAGAATTTAGACAGAGAGAGAGAGAGAGAGAGATAGGATAAAAAATAGCTTAGAAGAAACTTTATAGAGATTGGTGTACAATAAGGAAAAACAAAAAAAAAACAAACAAAAAAAATGGGGGGATAAAACGAAACGAGTAAAAGAAAAGCGCACTTTACTAGGAAAGGATTTGCTTTTTCAATCTCTGGATGCTCTTGAGCTTTTTCGACGCATTCGAAATTTGTTGAAACTGATACTACTGTCCTCTTGGAATAATTTTCTCTCAGCGTTTGCAATCGAAACTTGCCGTTTCTGATGAAATTTTTCCTGACACGTTATTACTGTCACTATCCCTCTTTGAAATTGGGTTCCATTCATAAATTTAAAATTTACTGATAAGTATTTTTATAAAATCTTCAAGGGAGAAGCAAGTTTTTCTAGATTCTTTTAAAATTAAACTTTTATCGACTAAAGTATTTTTAATTATTTTATTTCACTTCATTGAGAAGACCATCAGTTTAAATAAATTACCAACCCGAGTCGAAATTTAAGCCCTACTTTCACCCTGAATTTTCAGGGTCTATTGAGTGTTAGGAGTAGTAAAGTAGGGTCTAATTCTAATACAATTAGACCCTACTTTGACTCCCAAAATAGGCGGAAATTTGCCAATCTTCCATTTGGAGAAGCAAAGGAGGGTCTACTTCTAAGAAACCTATACCGTACTTTTAAACCTCGTAGACCCTACTTTCATACTCCTAGACCCTACATTCTGAAAGAAAATTTTGAATTATTTTTTAATGCATTACTTGAAACACTGCAAATGCAAAAAGTACTCCAAATCAATCCAAATCGACTCCAAATCAACTCCAAATCGATTCAATTGAATCTGAGCAAATCTTCAAATTTTTCTTTTTCTAATTGTAGGGTCTAGCAGTATGAAAGTAGGGTCTACGAGGTTTAAAAGTACGGTATAGGTTTCTTAGAAGTAGACCCTCCTTTGCTTCTCCAAATGGAAGATTGGCAAATTTCAGCCTATTTTGGGAGTCAAAGGAGGGTCTAGTTTTTAAAAATTGTATTGAAATCAGACCCTACTTTACGACTGCTAAACCTGAATAAGCCCTACATTTTCAGAGGCTAAGTAGGGTCTAAATTTCGACTCGGGAATATATTGTACTATTCTTAGTATTCCTTTCGTGTCAAAGAATTTGGAAAAATAATTGAACCGAACTATTTTTATTTTCGAATTAGAAAAAATCGAGACTGCAATTCTAGTTTAGAAAGAGGAAAGATACAATTGATGAAATAAAAAAATACGAAGAATGTAAAATTATTCCGGACATTGACGTGAAAAAGTAATGAAAATAAAGTGAAAACGTTTGTTGACAGAAATGGAAGGGGAGGGGAAGGGGAAGGGATGGTGTAGATAAATAGACTTGAAGAAAAAGTACGTTCTCGAATAAAGTAGTGAATGAAAAGAGCAAATAACTGTAAAAAAAGGGAACGAGGTCTCTAATGAATCGACCAGTCGGAGTGCAGAGAAAAACGTCTCTGGTAAAATTACTCAGATCGTCGCCGACAAACAATTTTAATATCGAAGCTTCTAGATGGAATAAGACGGATGAGAGGGCTCTTGTACGAAAAACGTCCAGGAAGAATATTTCACTAAAGATTGATTTTCATAAAAATATTCCCCGAGAAATATTACTAATAATTAATAAAGATTATTGACAAGCGCTAATTTTTCCTTTTTCTCTTAGTTGTATAAAAAAGAAGAAGTTTTCTCAAGAGAAACACTTGAAAACAGTTTTTAAAAAAAGTTTTCCTACTACTCTTATACGAATACTGTAAGAGGCGATTTTAATTAAAACGATTTAATAATTTATGTGTTACAATTTTCCTTTTATGTTGGGTATTGTTTTCGAAATAAAAAGAACATGAAATGTTAGACGAGTTGAAATTTAAGGCGAAAATATTTCCCTTCACAATATTATTTGAGACGTGATGCATTTTAGGTTTTACATTTATGAGGGGCAGTAAAAGTCGGAAAGTATGTCAAAGGCACTTTGCAATTCAACATACGAAATCTTTAAAGGAAAATAAAAAAATATATAAATTCATGATGGACTTTAGAATATCAATTGAAAATTGTGATTCTGTATAATTTTACCAAGTATTCAATTTTTCAATAGTGTGGAACATTTTTTCCTGTAGTTATTTTCTATA